TTACAATAAAACTATATTTAGTTACATCATGTGAGCAAAATTGAAATCCATTTATGAATAAAATGATTTTCTTCCTTAATCCTCCAAAATGTGGCAATAAACGAGGGGAATTTACCAAATATACAATAAATTATATACAGTACATTTAGATGTACGCTACATGTACAATATAATATTAACACAACAATTTTATAATTCGACACTGTACCATATTTTCACCACCCACGTTGGCTTGCAGTCTTCCAGTTCTCACATCCAGGCATCTTTATGTATCGAGCTTATTTCTGTCTGTTTTATCAAGCAAAATAAGATAATCCAAAAATATATATCAACACATTTCCTCTCATCAGAGCATCTGCAGAAACGGTAATGCAATCATGCTGGTATAAGAGATAGAGATGCTTATTGGTGTTGAATGTAAATTAATTACGTTAGTTTGACAGGTATTTGATTATGTGATTGGATTAGGATTATCCAATGATGCTGTAGTGTTGAGATACGGCAACATTTCATCTATCATACTTGATGCCTATCATACATCACAGTCATCTATCTTCGTCAATTCTCAACAACATTCCCTAGGGGGACTCAAAATAGGTATATGTCCATTTTTCATGGTCTATTTACATAGGGGAGGGGGTCTTTAGTGCATGGTTTAGTGTTACTGAATTCATTGAAAATGTTGTTAACAGTTTTGTCAACTAAAAGGCTCATCAAATTAATATTACTATCACCTACATGTATCCCTAGTTCATTTTGTTATCTTTAACATTGACATTAACATTCAAGACTGGGGGGATGAGAAGGCAGTTTTGTGCCCAGCCCCAAAGAATATTACTCAGGTTGATGACATTCTTGTGGATGTGCATCTGACTTACCCTGAAGCCAATAATGTCCTAGTAGTTGTAAATAGATCACACTCTTTCACAGAATATAAATCAAACTAATGAAAAAGTAAAAAGAGATTGCTTCTTGAAAACACATTAAAACCTCTTGAATATCAAATGACAAGATAATTTTTCTCCTAAAACACTCACCTAAACTTTTTCAATTTAAATATAATACAAATTTTGTTTTAAAATGTTTGCAGTGGGTCATTCTTTTCTACATTTACATGAACTTAATTGAAGATGACACATTAAAAATTCAGAAGAGTAGAAAAGGCTGGGAAAATGAAAAATGTATTAATTGTTGGGCTAAAAGGAGACTTATTTGTTCATAAACTTAAAAATTTTCTTTCGTTCTAGAGGTTTAAAGATCTATCATGATTTTTATGTTCCGAGGTAAGTTGTTATTTACTAAATAATGCATATAATTTTCTTCAACAAAACTGATACAGCCAAACAACAAAGCAACCAAACAACAAATTGTTTCTGTTAAAGTGTCTAATATCTCAATTTCAGTCACATGAGGTATTTGTGGTTACTTTATAGCTCCTTTGATGTTAGCCGAAAAAAAACATAAATAAAAAGAGATGGGGTACTTATGAATGGCCTGTCATAGTCTGATAGATTGCTTTTCATAATAGGTGCCTATCTTGAAAGGTCGACTGATTCTGTGGACTCAGGCATCTTTTCATATGTTAACATATCCCCAAGGCTTGGTTGATTACGCAGTAAAACTTGTGTATGTGAATATTGCTCAAAAGCTTATTTCAATTCCATTTTTGCTTTTATCTAATATGTCACGTGTATGACTGGAACGGCTTGTATGAACAGTTTTAGTCAGTTCCAACAGCATTGACTGAATGAGATGTAACGACAACATTGAGGTTGTGAGGACCTTATAACAATCCATGGGGCATTGTATTGTATTATATCACCAGTGAGTAATATCACTTGGGTACATATTCCATAATTTAATACATGCAACCATGAAAGGAAGACCCATGAGCCCCTTCTGATGCTTGAGTCACAATTGCACCGATTCATTGGCTGGCGCCTGGCTGATTGAGTATTTTGTTCAAATTATTCAGTTTTGAGCAAAATACCCAAATAGCCCAACCCCAGCCAATGAATCGGAGCAAATGTCACTCCGGCATCAAAGAATCGTTATTATTATAATGGATGATCTTCTTTAAATTAGCAAAATCAAACTATTAGAAATGATAGTAAACATATGGATTTCAAAACAAATTCATCCTAAAATATCACATTTTCTATCAGTCTATTTAGTATAGATTCTCTGCAAGACAAGAGATGGTCTGAGATGGTCTGAGTATAGAAATAAAATTAGATTTGCTTGGACCAGGAATTGAACTCAGGCAACTGTCTCTGAAAACTGCTCCACCATTGGTTAAACCTGCACATCGCTCCAAAACGCAATATGTTGACATATATTCTTTTTACATTTTCAAGCTCTGATATAAAGTTTATGTAAATAAAAATTGTTTTTTCTGCGTAATATCAAAGAACAATCATTTAGTTAAAAAAATAAAAAGTCGAATGCGGGATTCGAACCCGGCCTCCCGCGTGCTAGACGAGAATTCTACCGCTACACCACAGTGTTATTAACTATATGGGATGACTAAAAGATCTCTTGACATTGTCATCATTGTCTCCATTTGTCAAAATCTCTTGTAACCAGCTTCTACTTGATTGCTTATCAACTTACATGATCTCATAAGTGATTCCGATAAATTGCTATTCAGATTCCTGATGATCTTAGCAGTGGTGATATTCCATCGGCTAAAGAATTTTTACGATGAGTATGTTTTAAAACAGAAGGGATTAGAGAGTGCAATTTGTGAAGAATAATGCAGACAGGCGTCTTTATTTTACAGAAATGCAAGAAAGTGACAGTTCTTTATAGATTGAAAACAATTGTTGGATTTGACGCATAACCAACAGAAAATATTGAGGCACATGAAATCATGTTGAGCCATGAAATAAATAGTCACAAAGAAAAAGCACAAAGGGCTGGGATGACAGAACACTTCAATCCCTACAAACCTCATATTAAACCTAGTTAAACAACACAATTAGCAAACGAGGGAATATTCAAAGTATGTATGTCCCAATTACACCATTTTAGGACATTTTATTTCAGATAAATTGAGAGTTTTTGTTGATAGGAAGGATTTGATGAGTGTTATTAACAAGTTTACCTATACTTAAAGCATTACTAAATGGGAAACTTGAGAGAAAACACATTAGTAACAACTAATCACTGATAAAACAAGGATATTACAGTTCAGGGCAATGACACATAAGTGTCACTTTGAAACACAAATGAAGTCACTTTTACTCACTTTTAACTGCTTGCATAGTAGTCCCTGATGGATTAACTCTTTCTCAAACAATTTTAATCACCTCCAACTTCAAAAGGTAAACCTGTTTTGGGATCTACTTAAAACCAGGGAAAAAGACACACTAAGAGACAAAATAAATAAACCAATAAGTAGTTTTTAATAAGGGAGACACTGACTATTCTGGTAATTAACTCATCTTGCAGAAGTGCCTGTTAATGCTACAATAGATAGGTTTTCATTAAAAAAACATTTACTTCTATCAGAAAAAATTATAAGACGTTTTATTTTTGAAGTTAAGGTATAGAGATATAACGCATACAGTAAAACCTGTCTAAGTTGAACACCTTTGGTACCTCTAAATATTGTTCCATTTGGGAGGGGTCCTATTTATAGAGGTTTTACTGTCATGTTATTTACCGTTTTTGGATGACCAAGGTATGAATTCAAACTGGTAAATCAGTATGTATATTGCCAAACTGGGACAAAGCCAGAGGAACTGGTTTGGTTTAAGAGATAAGTGGAAACGATTTTTATAAAACTTCACAATTCATGAAATCCTATTATATACATGACTGCGTATACATGTACTGTGAATATATGTATTGCTAACCTGCCACTACAGTTCTACACATGAAGTCAAAATTTTAAACTATTTTTTGCCATACAGACACCAAGCAATTTTAATCTAAATTAACTTTGACTGGCGGTAAAAAACAACTCAAGATTCTAACAGACTATAGAATGCCTAATTATGAATCTAAATTAAAAAATACAAAAAACATTTGTTTAAAGTTTTCAAATGTCACTAAACAATTTGGGGCGCCATTCTAGAAAATTAGAATTGAACCAAAAATGATTGTTTGAAACTCCAAACTTTTTCACCCAGATTCCAAACTTCAATTTTAATCATTTACGACAGGTCTGAATGAGCATTACTGATGGGTTAAGGTTGTTTTTTGCAATGACTCACTTCAATTGAGTAACCAAGCACATGTTATTCTCTGTATCTCTATGTTACAAAACTATCTAAATTCCTCGAGCAAGTGATTAGCACATGTTAGAAGTATCTCGTTACCAAACTGTCAAAATTGAACAATCTACTTTTTTCTATCAAGTTGAAAAACACGAGATAAGAATCTTGTGAACTCTAATAGATTTAGATACATGACACTTGAAAATATTAAACACAACAACTGAGATACATTGTAGCTCAGAGAGAACATGTTGTACTTAAAGGCAAGGCAGGATCAGATCAAGCAAACAAAAAATTGAGAATAGTTTTGGTTCATATTATTCCTTGTTAAATCTATTTCCTGAAAGAGGTTATATTTCATTCCAGGAAAACTAAAGATTTTAACATTTTTAATTTGTCTTCAATTTTATATGAGTCTGGATATTGACAAAATTTTATCATTTGGGAGAATTTGTACATTTTTGCCCCTTATGCTACCTTACCTACATAGCTGGTAGACACCTTATGTTACTTAATAATTCATTCCAAATGAATCTGTTACCTTTCGACTCATTCCCAATTTAGTTGGAAGATGTTTTGTTACTTTATAATTATTCACAGCTGCAATGGGATTATGGAAAGTAGAAGTAAAAAAAAGAAAAAAGGTTTCTGAAGCCTGACATTTCTTTTGTGAGCTTTAATATAATAGCAGCTCAGAGTTATATGCTAAACTAATGAAACAAATGGATTTTTAATAGTCTCATTATTTATTTTAAATATTGTCATTTATGATTTCAGATAATAGTGCATTGAATGACATACAATGCCAAGCCTCTCCTGATATCACCCAACCAAGCAAGATGGCGATGGCGCAACAAGACAGATCACCTGGTTATGAGTTCATATTCACCAAATTTGAAACATGAATAAGACCATATATAGATGGATGAATGAATGGGCTGATGGAGCCAGGAAGCTAACAAAACAATGTGAAACTATAAAACATGGCTCCCAATAAAAAGATACGTCTTGCTAACCAGACAGGAGATTTTTCAGATAATGGCCTAATGATTATAACATGACTGAAAGAGACATACAGTTATGTACTATGACCATCTAAAGGAAATATTTCTACCTACCGCATTCAATAAGAATGCACAAGAGACAAATATCAAAAAACAGAAATTTTGAGAAAATTAGAATTACCCCCAGGCCACAGTGAGCACATTTTTATTTTGGGAATCAAAAGAAAATACATCTTTTCTATCGACTGAATATTCCCCAAACAGAAATTCTACTCACTGTGCCCCAGGCTTATTCTTTTTAAACTTGATTTTAAATCTTATTTCGTTAAATTATATCTATAATTTGAAAGAGAGGTCTAGGAGCTAGTCTAAGCAAAGAAATACGCAAGAAATTGTTTGAAATAAAATGTTCTTTCAAACTGGGTGTAATGCATACTATACGCAGAATGAAATACAAGACCCATTTTCAAGATTATGTATACATTATAACATATATGTACCTAACCCGATCCGACCTGTATAATCCTCACTAATAATAGTTGAAAACTGAAATAAGACATTGTAAATAAGTCTCACAAGACTAATTATGAACAGAAATCAAAATACAACCTGTTGAACACAAGCAAATGAATTCAATTTCAAAGAAGTGCTAGGAAAAAAATTCATACACTTTTTAAAGTAAAAAAGTGCCTTAAAAATGTTGTTATGACATCAATAACACTAAACCTTCTTTAAGGTCTTACTTCCTAATGCACAAAAGACAAAATACAAATAAAATCATAAATTTCCAGAAATATTCAGTTGAACGTATTATCGCTGACCCATTGTTATGTGAACAATACTGAGAACATGGGCTATGGTATATAAACACATCAATCAGTGCAAAAACACTGCAGTAAAACTTGTTTATATGCACATAATCTGAGTTTTGATTCGAACTTTTTAGTTGGGGAGGAGTGTTCACAAAGAGGTTTCACAGTTATATATTAAGTCAGTCATAAGAGAAAGATATTTAATCTGTATATATTGATCCTAGTGCAATTTAAGAGAATTGTGTTCAACTAATATGACATGTTTATTATAATCTATATAAGTGATCAATTTATGAGACTATACAAATATATATGTACATTTCTGGTATAATAATGATCAATTGGATTACTTTTTTCCAAATCAATGTAATTATCTTATTCTGTGTCCTAAAATCATCCACAAGGAAAAAGTATTCATTTGAGATCAAATATGAGTCATCAAATTGACTTTCTATCAAGAACATACATTTTATTATAAAATTGATCCCGATGTCTATTTCTTTCCTGAAGATTGTTATGACTCAAATGTATTCTTTTCTATGTTACATCCTGTAAAATATTTAAAAAGAAGTTGAATAACATTTCTAAATGGACTCCAAGTATAGTGAATGATAAGTAATTTAATGATTTAGACACAGCCAAGGCATCTTCCAAGGATGATTGTATTTAAATAGATAATAGAAAGTGCCTGGAAATTGTTTCATTTCCTGGTAAAACAGAAATGATTTTTACTTATATATGGAACATGGTACTTTATTGATTGTATAAGTACCAGAACTATGTTAGGCTATTTCATTAGATTTTATTATTGAATGATTCTTAGCTCAATGTTTAATCTTTTGGAATCGTTCGTCACTTATGTCTTTCTGAAATGAAATTTTTTTTGGGAAAACTACCACCCATGCCTAAATCTTCATATGTATTTCAAACATTCTCTAAAAAATTAATTGAACTTCCTCATCTAATATTCCTAAAGTATTGATTTCATGACTGTTTATACTATTTTATTTCTGTTATTTTTACTATCGTCCATCTATTTTCTATTCTAAAACAAGACCAATGTCCTTTGACTAACAAGAGTTCTTTTTGACAACTGAAGTAGGCTTACATGTTGTGATGTCTATAAAACTGAAACTACAAAACCAAACTTTTCTACGATTTACATTTTAAGGCTGTCAACTTTTTTGATGATTTAATGACTACGCATTTTGTCAGTAAGTGGCTTTTAATACAGACCATTATTTGACAATATTCACAAACCCCTAAAAACAATATCATCAAAACTTATAGAGTCAGAGAAAGGTTTGGTATTGATTATGTTATTACTGTTGAATTCAAATAATGAATTATGTTCTTATTAAGCTGTACCTGTATTCTGTATGTGTATATATATTCTGCTGTAAATAATTAAACATATAAATTATTTTGATTCTATATCATAAATGAGGTGTAATATTTTCTTAAAGAGAGATGTACATGGTTCTATTCTGATTTATGTTGTTGTATCATATTACTACAGAGTTATCAAATGAGATAAAGTGTTATAGAAGAAGATAAGTTGTAAGTAGAGGAGATAAATTGTAAGACAAAACTGTTAAAGAATGAACTAAGGGATTCTCTAAAGAAGATTAAAACTGTACATAAGATGAAATAAAATCTAATAGATTATAATAGAAATTGATGTTTATTTTTGTTTCACATATAATACAGCCTAGTCTTATATAACATTACCACACTCTTTAAAAGCCCCAAGAAATTACAGCAAATAAGAATATAAATCAACAATTTTAGCCATTTTGAGGTCCTGAGCATTGGACTGAATCATCATTATTCTATTTTAGGAACTTGTACCACTCTATAAAAACAACACCAAATTTAAATCAGTTTTCCGAGACATTCATTCTGAAAGAATTATGAAGAACCCGCACCATCATAAATGGACACAAATGCAACATTTGCACAGTGTATCATGAAAACAAATTCAAATGGGGGATTCAACACAGAAATAAGCATTCAACCTATGGAAACCAGATGGGATAACAGAACGACAATGACCTGTTGATCATCCATTTTAGTTCACTCGTGTCTATCGCAGTGAATGAAGACTGAGCATGTAAAGATGTTGATGTTCAGGTGTCTATTGGAACACAGCAGAATGAAGTCATATTTAAAATACTCATAACAGCCTTGATTAAACTCAAAGTATTGTAAGCAATATTATTCAAGCTCTATCCTGTGTTAAAATACCTGGGCATCTCATTGTTCATTTATAGAGTTGAGAGAAATCATGGGAAATGAACATGACTGGAATGACATTTAAAACAGCAGAGAATAGCTCCTAATAAAAACATCCGTAACATTTCTAGCAACTGGCAAAACAAGGCAACATCCACAGACAATCACTGGGCAAACATTGTAGCTTTATTTAGAACCATATGGTGACTACTGAACATCCTTTTGATGGTTTACCTGTATCTCATATGAGATAAATATATTTGACTATGGATATGACCTGAAGATTGGTTCTTACCCTGAACTTATGCCTCAGTCGCAAATGCTGTAAGGTAATCTAAGCAGTTCCCTGATTTACCTACCTACGGCAACCAAAGATCAATAGAAAATCTATGGTTGCTTCAAGGTCATATCCCGTTTTAACAAGATGTAGGGTCACCTTGGAAATTATGACTCTGAGTTATAACTTTTATGACACTTGAATGGTCTTTGTAGAAAATTAGAAAAGTTGTAGACATGCTATTGCGTCAGATTGGCTGCACTTTCACTGCACTGTACAGTCCCTCTGTAGCTTCCTTGCGACTGCCTTAGTATTTGAAAAAAATTTTAGGGCCCCAAAAGGACCAAAAAGTTTTGAAAGGCCTCAAAAATGGGCCTTTTTGGGCATAATTTGGTATTTTTAGGCCTTTGTAAGGCCAAATTATCAGAAATGGACCTTAAATTTTCAAATTTGGGCCCAATTTTTGGTTTAAGGGCAAGCGCGGACATATTTTTGATGACTCCAAATTTGCCCCCCCCCTTGTTAGTTTCTGGATCCCCAAATGCAGTAGACCATGTGATAGCTGTTGCTAATTAAACTGAATTATTATGGACAATGTAAGAGTTCCCTAGCTTTATTCTACCTTTAGACATTATCTTTAACATAACAAAAGTATCATAACTTACATAGAAAGTGAAATGAAATTTAGCAATCCAAACATGTTTGCTTATCTTACCATTCATCGTTTCCATAGAGCTATAAAACTACTAAATAGAAGTTAAGTAAAGAATTCAAACCACCAGGGGTCACTGACTTGTGACATTATTCTCACTGAACACAGCCAACATCACTTGAGTTTTTATAAAAACTATTTTTATTCAACTTGAAATTTGAAGTGTAACATAATTGCAGGTAGAAATGTCCCAGGTGTTTGTATCAATTCAAGCACATGACTATAGTAGGGAAACAGGTAGCTTGGGTGTCACGGTAATTAATAGAAACACTCCAAAGATCACCTGGTCTCTCACACCTGAACTTCCAGTCTTCGCTCCCTCAATCTCGCATAGGGCACCTGGCTGGGCAGATACTAGAATTAAATATAATAAATATTTTAGAGTTTAATATGTTTTAGTTCAATGTCTTGCATCAGTTTGAAATTCAAGTATTTTATCAAGCATTTTTCAATTATATCATGGTCGAGAATTTTGACCATGATATAATTGCATTTGATAGTTTCTGACCATGAAATACTGCAAAACTACCCTATTTTTTAAATGGAAAACTGTTAAAAAAGCATTGTTAACCATGAAATACAATGGTGCCATTTAACGATCATGATTGGCCATGGTATTACATGTAATTGCATTTCATGGCTGTAGACCACGTTATACCATGGTGTGACCATTGTCCATTTCAACATGGTATGGATTCAACATTGGAAAATTTGTACAAGACACAGAGTAATAAATAGCACACTTTGTTATCGAAAAATTTGGAATTACTACCAAATAATTGACCCAGGATGGATAAAAGTATCAAATCTTGGCACTGCCCTCCTCTTGTATCTGTAAAAAAAGGTAAGCAGTTTTCCTGGAATTTTGATGCATTGCCCACCTGAATGCCCATCAGCACCAGACAACGGCAATATGTCACTTTGAAAAAATGCATAAAAATAGTGCATCTCTTTTATGCATTTTAGTAATTCTAATGAATTCGGGCATTTTTGTCTGCTTAAATAACTTCCATATTTGAAATCTCAAATATTTTTTCAAAAGGATTAGGAATATAGAAGAAATTCATGAATATTTTTTAGAATTATTGACCCTAACATTTTAAGCTCTTTATCAGATACTGTCACTTTAATACAGAACATTAAGAAGCTACCTGAGAAGTAAAGGAGTTGTTCGAAATAGTGATCCATTGTCCCATGATTTATTACTATTATACTATGTTCACCTTATAACTGAAAAGCAGTCCATCTATCAAATTAAAGTTTTTCTCTCAACAATTTCAATTAGATCTTGGAGTACTTGACTGGCTACTTGACCTCAGATAGGATTTCATTTATCAGAAAATTTGATTAAAATTGCGATACACCGAAATATTTTTTCACCAAACATCAAAAACATCGTTGATCATATTCTATTTATTAAAAATCTAATTATAAAGTTGAGCTAAATAGAAGTAGAATTTAACCCATAAAACTTCAATGGCCATTTGAGAGTGATTCATACTTTATTAAGAGATAATTCATTATCAAAACAAATGCAAAAGATTGAAATTAAATAGGAATGACAATGATTTAAGTATGAACATCAAAAATAAGAAAATGTGAATGAGATGTGAATCCTTGAGTTTCTTTTTTTATGTTTTGGTTGAAAGCATATTCTATTAGCAACAAATGGTAGCTGATACAGAATGTATGAATGTATTCTCATGTGTTCATCTTTCCCTCATTCCCAGACCTTATCCACATACACAGGATATATTTCCCATGATGCATTGCTTCAAATCATGTGACCAAAATGGTTGATTTTCATTGGTTGGTCTACACAAACCCAAAAACCTTTAAATCAGCAGAAATCTAAGCTTTTCTCATCTAAAATATTATACATGTAAATCATAAAGTTTCCAAAATGTTGTTAAAAATTGTTTGTTTGTTTTACTCAAGGGAGCTGAGGCTGTCTCCTTCAGGAGCAGAAACCATGAAACAGTGTTGCTTCCGAGGGCCCTCTTGAATTGCGATGAAGTGAATATTTCACTCTTATTAAAGCTGAAGGGTTTTATCAGCAGAAATTTCAGCAACTTTCATAAATCACCCAGCAGTTGAGCCGAGTCTGGTGTTCCCTACTATACATAAATGTACAAATGTACCCTTTACTTCTACCATATATATTCTGCTCCTCTACAAGAACCAAGAGGGAGTCTTCTGTTGTATGAATGGAGCAATGTGTCCATATTATTGATGAAGCCAGTTGAGATATCATGAAATACGAAGCGTTTCATAGTTCTTTAATCACAAAGTAAAAAGTAATTGTAGTAATAGGAGGGGGGTGGGGTTCTGCAGACACAATGGAACTTTCACTAGAAGACACTTAATGTTTTTTTCTACCTGAGAATCAAAAACCACAGTCCAGAAAAGACTTGGAAATACAAACACATACTCCAGGGCCTTCCAAAAATACTAACAGTTCACAACACAGCAGCTGAGGCCCTGATGATGTATTTCCCAATTTCCACACAACCAGAAATCTGCTGAGTTGTTCAAGAGACTGACAAGTACAACTGGTTTACAGAGAACTTTCTCTTAGTCTATATCACACACCATAGACTGTTTCTGGTACAATCTGGCACCATTTAGTCCACTTTATTGTGTTTTCAGTGAATTAGCTTCTAAGAGGCAGCGGTATTGATACAACATGTCAACAGTTATGTTTATTTAAAACTCTCTAACTTGGGCTCCTCTTACGAGCTGAGAGCTAAACAACGCCACCTTTTGATTAAAATATGATTGTTCCTTGTGAGCCCATACATGCTATTAGTTCCAACTCAGAATAATATAACAAAGAGAGGACAGTACCCTTGATCACTATTGGCTTACCACCCCCTCTGACTATTACGGATGGATCTAGTTTCAAAGCTGATGAAATCTTAACAATCTCAAATGTTTTCATGGCTTTTTAGGGTACACTGGCAATCTCAAACATTATTATACAGCGCTGTTTTTAAAACTGTGCTGCACAGCGCTGTAAAACAATACTGTATTACGCTGTTCAAAACAGTGCTGTATATCACTGTACAGCGCAGTACTTGAAGTGCATTGTGTACTTCACTGTAGGTGAAGTGATCACCTAAGGGAGCATAACAGATCTCCCTAAGGAGACATAAGGAACAGATCTCACTATAAATGCTTATCATACGATCCTTCCTAACCCACTGAATGAAATTATATATGATAGACAATAGGCTACCCTGTTTCAATATTTTATATTAATTAACATAAGTCATTCTCTTTCAATCAGATAAACAACAAAATTACAAAATGTGAAAGCCATCTTGCTAGAGTTATCCAAGATAAAACATGCCCTCCCAATCATACAAATATTTTGCCTTTTTACAAATCCTTACATCGAACTAAAGCAAAACATTCAGCATTCTGAAGCATACTGTTGCAACTTGGTAATCTGATCTTAACTGTTTTGGCTTTGAAAGATGTTCAAATGCTCTGAAAAAACAAGCTGGCTAAGCAGAGTCTGTAGAGAGTAAATACTACCAGATTGGATGATAGAGGTTCAATTGGAGGAGCTATTACTCCCAACCCAAAAGTAAAACATCCAGGGTGAATGCAATGAAATATGAAATTGAGAGGAAATGGGAGGAACTAACCAGGAATTATTTGACCAGTCTGTTACCAAGATGATTATTTATCCAATAGAAATGTGAGAAAATTAGCGCATGAAAATATAAATTGATGGTTTATGTGTAAATGGATAGAAATGGGAAGATGTTGAGGTAGGGTATATATAGAGGACCACAAAGTTCATATCCGCTACATAACCAAGCGTATCATGTTTAGTCAGCACAATTTTATACTTTCTCATCAGACAACATTTGGGAACCACCATGGTTCTATGTAAGCTCTCATTTACCATATATGACAATCTTGGCTTTCCGGCCCCTACCTCCACACACTACTGAACATAACAGATTCTGACTTAGGCAACAGAGCAATCAAAACCAGAAAATGTTCTTTCTTTTCAGCCCCAGCTTTTCGTAACAATATCTGTCAGTAAACTTGTAAAAAGTGTTATTATTGCATAAAGAGTTCCTTCAGATTATTATTACCTTTAACTAATTGATCAAATAACTGGTTGATTTTACTCTTTGGCAGGTTTACCTACCCTTTGCAAAATTTCGGAGAGGTACATTACTGTCCTCTACCTTTTTACCCTAAAAGTACATGCTGTCATGACCTGTCATGGCAGTTTTCAAGTTCGATTTGATGACTGGATTTGAATCACCTAATCTCTCTGATTGGATAAGGCTAGATTATTATTTCTTAGTAGAAAAGTGTAGATGAAGTTCTTTTCAATGATTCAAAAAAAAAAACTCTTGGAAAGGGTATATTTAAACAGGTTCCCTTTCCCATCTGTTAAAAGAAGAACAGAATGAAATTCTGTATTTCTGAATTTCTGCTCATCAAACAGATGGGAAGAAAAACCTGTTTAAAAGTTCGGAACAACTGTTAATTTTGTAAGTTGATGGAGTTCTGCTTTGTTGCAGGTATTTTAAATATATTTATCTAGGTACAATTACAGCCCATGAATTATTGCAAAAACAATCATAAAAACTGAATCACGTCAACTTGTTTGTTTCTCGCCTGATTATCCAAACCCCAGTGTTTTGGGCACCGCTGGGAGCCTCTGAACTTAACCTGTTTGTCCAAATGTCACTCCGTACAAAACATGAGCAATGGTTGCCAAAGTTATGAATCAAGACTTGCTTTAATAGGTACTTAGTAGATCTTAAACTGGCATTTGTGCAAAAAATGGAAATTATTCAAAAATTATAATACTGTTATGTTTGTAAAATAATTGTATATTATTTTATCTTAAAACATGGAACATATCCTGGTTCCTTTCAAGTCATTGTAATAATTTATATGTACAAAACTTGAAATAAATAAAAAATAATACAAATACAATACAATACAAAGTCTCTTTTTAAGTAAAAAAACGTCTTCTTATAATTCTTTGCTTATACTGATATATTAAACACTATCAATTTGATTTGATTTGAAAACTATATTATTTATTCCAATTCAATAAAAAGAGCAATCAGATTAGAATACCAGGCATACTTTAATATAAAACCACTAAAACATACTAAAGCGGTTGTATTCAAAACTATTTAGTTTTTTGACAATAAATGGACGACAAATTAAAACTGGGAAAATTTAAATCATGGCTTTTTTTCATATTAAAATTGAACACATAACAAATATTCAAATTGAAATCAAAATCAATTGTAAAGTCAAATACAATTATCTGAATACAACGTAAAACATAACAAGCAATAAGAGTAAAA